CCGGGAACTCGGGGTTACCAGCGCGTTGCTGACGGATGAGCGAGTGTCCGTCCAGCGGCTGGAAGCTGAGCTCGCGTCCGTGGCCAGCATCCGAGAGGAGCATAGACGTCTCCAGGTTTCTTCCGCCGTGGCTGCCCGTCGATCTCAGCGCCAGATCGAGATCCTAGAGAGGCAAGTTGCCGATCTCCGTAGTCAGCTCACAGCCTTGACAAGGCATCCCGATCTCGGTTCTGCGCCGCCACCTGCGTTAGCTCGTCGCCTTCAAGTCCAAGATCGCGAGATGCGATCGTCTCGAGATCGCATTGCCACACTGGAGAGGTCTGAAAAGGCCTTAGAGGACGCCACGGCACAGCTTCGACGTCAAGCGGAAGCTGGGAACCGCCGCCTGGCTCGGCTTCGTGAGGAATGTGGCGAATATCAGGAACGACTGGAGTCCCTTCGGGATGAGCGTGATCAAGCGAACACCCAGCTGCGTGGGATACGTGAACGGCTGACTAAGACTCGCTCCGAGCTTCAATCTCAAGGTAACCCTTCGTGCCCACGTTCTCGATCGTGGGTTGGTACTAACACATTGGTCGATCTGGTCCTCCGCCGAACATATCACCTCCATGCGCTCATCCATGTCTTGGTTAGAGGGGCAAGTAGCCCAGTGGAGAGGGGCCAACACCGAATCGCAAGCTACTCTGACGGAACGTACCGCCGAGACCGAGCTTCTGCGGCAAGATCAAGATCGACTGAGCCGCGTTTATAACGAACTTCGTGATCACTACGCAGAGGCGTACACTCGGTTTTCCGCAGTCGCTTCTGCGATGGGACAAACTGTCACATTGCCACCTCCGTCCAATTTCGTCCAGGCCGAGCCTCGGGAAAGACATTGCCCAACTCCAACGCCGCCTCCACCTAGCTCCATTCGCGATAGGCCTGCGGGGTTGTCTCCCTCCACGCGTGCACCTAAGAGTGCGCGAACTCCCTTCTCCTCTTCCGCACCCAGAGATACGACATCAGCTGAACAGGCATTGCCCGCACCTTCACCTCAGCCGTCGACTAGCGCCAACAACGATGTCGTCGGTTCTGCGGCAGCCACTCGATCTGGATCCTCTTTCATTAGTCCGGCCGCGGCTCAGGGTACGACTGACCTGGTTGGGACCTCGTCCCGTTCAGTGGAATATAACGCACGTGATTCCGACCTGTTCGGCTCCGAAGATGACGATGAGGACCCCAACTACCTTGCGGCGTTAGCCAGGTCGAGAGCCGAGCTTCGTCGATCTCACTCGCACGAAGAGCACCGTACCGATCTTGTCCAACGTCTTCCTGCCGCCCCTAATCCTGATGACGACGGCTCGTCAAGTAGCACGGCGAACAGCTCTTCAGATCATTCTGGCCGGG